CATTTCTTTCCTTTACCACCCACATTCAATCTATCACCAATTCTTTGTTGAATTATATCTCCAAAATATATCTCACTTTTATCCACTTATATTCTTCTTTACTACATCTACCACCTTATTCCAAACCACCATTCACTTAATGGAGAGAACCAAAAAAGAACTCCTTCATTTGTCTCCTTGCTCCTAATATTGATCGTCCCACTTCTTTATCTAAGCCTTTCTTTATTCTGCAGCCAGAGGGGTCACATTAATCTAAGTCATACAATGTCATTCCCTCCACCTGAAAAACTCCAATGGCTTCCAAGTTCATTAAAAGAATAATCTAGTCTCCTAATCCGGTCTTGCTGGATCTGGCCTTGGCTCACCACCCCAAGTTAGTCCTATGAGATTCTTCCTCTTGCTTTCCAGCTAAGGCACACCGAACTCCTTTCACTTTCTAAATCTCACTAGTCTATTAGCTATCTTAGGATCTCTGCACTTGCTGTTTTTACCTCCATGAAAACAACTTCTGCTTACCTTTTCCATGTCTGGCCCCATTAGGTCTCAGCTTAAAAGACTTCCTTGACCACTGAAATAGATCTCTCACTCTATTTATGCTCTATATTAGTGTGCTGTTGATTTGTCCCATAGCATTATCTTTATTTATTTTATTTGTTATTTTTATTTTTATCTTTCTATACTGCTTAGCTGTAAAGTTTATGAGGGCCTGAGTCTGATTCAATATTATATCTTCACAACCTAACATTCTTCTTGATAGATAGTAGTTGCTAAATAGCTATTGCTTCAACAAGTGAGTTAATGAATGTGACAAATCAGAAGAGAATGAAGCTTTATTTTGCTGTTGCTCTGTGGATTTAAAGAGTTCTTTTCATCTATGTATTTGTAAAAAATATATTCTCTGTTGATATTCAATTAATAAAGCTAAAATACGACACAATTTAATTTTAGGTGGTTGTGATTAGATTATTTGAAAACATTGCAAGGGTATTTTCATTTGTGGGGAAAAAGTTATTCCAAATTTACCTAAGTGTATACACTTCTCCATGTTTGCTTTTCCATTTTAAAATGTTATTAAAGCTTTAAAATAAAAGTGCTCATTGCACTCCTTTGGGAGAAATGTTGTTTTGCTTATTTTAATGACCTACTTACTTAGTAACGAGAAGAAATGTTAATGAAAATTTGACTCTTGGTAAACAGAAAGGTGCAAGAAAGGCTCAGAAGTGGATGTGGCAATAGACCAGCTGCCTGACTAAGGATATAAAGATTACTGTGTGAGTTGTAGCCTTGTCAGTTACCACTTCTGAGGTTCTTGGGCAATTCATTGGAACTTTTCTCTGCCTCCTTTTTAACAGAAAAATAATGCCTGCCCTGCTATCTCTTTATGTTGTGTAATAATTTTATTACATATTATATGTGAAAATGTTTTCAAAACTGTTTTCAAAACTTATTAGATATTGTATGCGAAAAAGGACTTCCTGTATGAAATCATACTGCAGGAGTGAGCACCTTGCAAAATTCACGCTAATGCTCCACTCCCATCTTACAGAGGTTGAGAAAGACAATCTAAGGCAATCGTCTATATTTGACGCATTTATTATTCCAAACCATGTGTCTCAAAAGGCTGAGAAGAACAAAAGCTTGTGTAACCCTTCAGTAAGTATAAAATGGGTAAGGGCCAGCTTCCTAAACTATCTCCTGGTGATCAGTACCCTAGCTATGCATATGTAAGAAGGCATATAACAGTGTTAAATGTAGACAAGAGCACAGGGGGATGATTTTCTAGCTTTTTTATGGAAGGGTTTACTTGTGTGCCACTTCTAAGCAGGTGCAAGCTACTTCAGGATACTGGCCAACTGATTTGTCAGAGCCTGAAAGAACTTTACCCCTTCAGAAATCCCAATCTAGCTTTTCTCACCATGTCTCCTTCCTTCTCGTCTCACCTTTCCCCCTTTTCTTCTCCAATTGGAGAATGTGGGAAACAAGGGAGAGGAGATCCTGGAGAGATGAAAAGAAGAGAACTATTTTAGTTCCTTTTATTTCCCCCATAGCAAGCTGTGCTGCTGAGTTAAAAATATGTAATTTAGTTTCCAAATCTATTTCAACCCCTGCCTGGCCTACTGAGCAATCACAAACCATCCAATTTCAATTCAAATCTTTGCTTTTAGCTTTATTTTAAATGGAACACAGCTAAGTTGTATAAACAGATATAAAGTAAATGTTCCACAAAGAATGGAGGTAGGATAAAGGGAACCAGGAAGTAAATCCATATTTATAGCATACTGGTCAAAATTTGAATTGTTTTCATTTTATTTTTAAAATGCCAAACTTTCCACAAAGTATAAAATGTCAAAGAAGGGATCAAACTTGTGGCATTCAAGAGTCTATGCTAAGAATGAATTTTCTTATTTTAAGTGAATTATATTTCATACACAACATCTTGTAAACAGATTACACATTTTCTGCAGGTGAGAATTACTATTCTTCTGTCACATTTGGAATACTACATATTTACAGAGAATGACCCATTTCTAAAGAATGAATCACATCTACCACAAATATTTATGAGCACAGCCAAAAAAAAAAAAAACTGTTCTATAGTAAATTTTAATGATTAATCAACTGCTAACAATTGAAGTAAGGTGAATTCAACCTCTTCCCATAAAACTATAAAAGTATTTCCAGGTGTGTAATGAAAATCACTTGGCCGTGACAAGTGAGCTTGAATAATGCCTTTGAGATATTTCAGCAGTACTACAGCTAACCAAAATCAGTAAGGGCTTACATAGATCGATTTCACTTATCCTATTTTCTATATAACATTATGGGAAAGGGTATTCACTAAAAAGAATCCATCTACAATGGATCTCTTCTTCTTTTTGAATTATAACTTGCATCATAACCAGCCAGGAAGATATTATTTTGGTTTTCAACATTTAATAATAAAACCATATAGTTTCGATTATAAATTGCCACTTTATGTTCAAGTACATCAATTCTTTAATGAATATTTAAACATGTGATTTGATACTAGTTATTTTTTTCTTTACCTGAAACGTCAAGTAAACCTGTATGAGCAGATAAATATTTTTATTGATATAAAATAGATTTAAATGGTATCACTTTATCTGGAACATTTTCAACAAAATTATTTTTGATCTAAAGTGATAATTTCCCAGTCACTTATGAACAATTGTGCATTGACAAATGATTCACTTCTGTAAGAAGGCCTCTTTTCAGATTTACATAAAGTCAAAGGCAGTGCTGAGCATCCTGGAAAGGCAAAGTGAAAAAAATCAGGAGCATCTTTCATCCTTCTCACTCATCTTTATGACTGTCAACACACAAAGGCTGAGTTAATGCCCTCAGTGGCTCCCCATAACCTTCTCAATAAAATCCAGAAAAGAGTAGTTTGGATCAGAAGACTTAACCTGATCTCAGCTTATCATTAATATGTTATGTGTCCCTGTATAAATTACTTTCCCTTTCTAGTCCTCAGTGTCTTCGTTTGTTAAATGAGAAGAATAAGGCTAGATAGACTCTAAAGAAACATCTAGCTCTACTCTATCCAATTCTATTTTATCTCCAACAGTTCTTTCTAACTGGGGACCAAACTTCTAAATCATGTCTAATTCTGTCCTCTTTTGTAGAAATGTCCTACTCCCTTTTACTTTTTCCGTTCTCACATCATCTTGTCTCCTACACGTTCTCAATAGGAAGCTAAAATTCCTTGGTGCTTCTAATATTAAGTGATGCTCATCACATACTATCTGATATTTTCCCAATCTGTATGGGTTTGTCTTTTAAATACACGACCTGACCTGGGTTCACATCCTGCCCATGCCACTTATTAACTGTGAACTTGGACCGGTTTCTTTACTTCTTAAGCCTCACTTTCTTCATCTGTAAAACGAGGATAGAAATAGCTTTCTTTCAGGGGTGTGAGAGTTAAACAGTAACACCTATAAAATGCTTGGTATATATGAAAATTTAAATAAATAAATACAATATCACTTGTCGTTATTGTTACTATTACTACTACTAGAATATAAGGTCCTTTAAGACAGAGCCTATGTCTTCAATTTTTTTCCTGAGGCTTATCAAGCTCAGTGCAGTGGAAAAAACAGGGGCTCATGGGTCAGAACACCTGGGGCCACACTTCCAGTGAAGTCACTTGTCTTTTCTGAACTGGACTGGACCAGTGACTTCACTGGAAGGTTCAATTATCTTGATATTTCTGTGAACCTAGTGCCTAGCACAACACTTGCCACATAGATTCTCATTATGTAAGCAAAGGAAATATGAATATGAAAAAGAGCAACAGTATTGTTGTGGATGCACCTCTGTTAGAACTTTTATAAATATTTATTAAAGTAAAAAATAAAGCTGAAACACCACTGACTCCAAAGTCTTAGGAAGGAAACAAATGCCACCTCCCAAAATAAATTAAAAATTCATACTACTGTAGAAGAGGAAAGGACTGGGTTCTCTATCAGAGCAGACAGCTTCGTGCCCTAGATTTTTGTCCTAGGTAGAACAAGGCCGAGGTTTTGGCAGAAGGACGGACACCACGTGGGAGGACAGGGGACTTTGGATCAGCCGTCTCAAGTGCAACCTGCTCTGAGTGAAATGGCCAGGTTCAGGGGAACCCCATTCTCTGGGCACAGAATGTCTGGGTAGCTGAGCCCCCAGTTCCCAGTTTTGACTCTTCTCCTCCAACCTCCCCCACCCAACAGTCAGGTCCCGGGAGGTAATTAGTGTGGGGGAGAAGCGGAGCTTCTGAGGGGGCAAGGAAATGGGAAAGTATGGCTGGGGGCGGTCTTCCTGTCAGAGGTCTTATCAAGAGAGGGGAGGAAGGGAGAAAGAGAGAGAGATTGATTTTTTTATTTTTATACGCGAAGCATACCTAATGATTTTCCCACAGACAGGCAGACAGACAGACAGACAGGCAGACCGAGTGAGGGACAGACAGGACACACTTGAGCGTTTGAAATCGTTCATACCCCCAAATCCAGGACGCAGTCTGTTGTCATAACCATCGAGTAAACTGTCCAGGATGCGGGTAAAATTTTCTGGGCATAATTTCTCCTCCTTTTGGTTCTGTCCTGGGGATTCGTTTAAACTGCAAACACGAAAAAAAAAAAAAAAAAAAAAAAGGTCCTCTTTCATAAATTTTACTACTATCATATTTCTATTTACATAGTTTAATAATCTATTCATTGAAAATATTTATTAGGCAATTAAAAGGAACAGCAACCAAGAACTAGAGTCTTCTGTCTTAACAAACCCGCTGTGGACTCTTCCATAAATAGCTGAGATGAGGGAGAGAAACAGTCAGGAAAGACGCACCCCTGCACACGCACCCCCAACAGTAGCACTCTTCCTGCACCCGGTGGCCCTTCTACTCTCTGCGTCTACCTGGTCACAGAAGCCTGGCTCTGGCCCCTGACCTTACAACGAAGACAGGAGGCTCTGATTTGCGCTGGGAGGAGTGGGCGGCCAGAGGGGCCGAGAACTGGTCACTTCTCCGCCTTCCCCTTGCCCCTCATTATCCCAGGGAACTCACCAAACCGCCAGGCACAGGACATGCAGGAGGGCGAAACTGACCCCGAAGGACGTCGCGATCGCGGGTACCTTCTTGACAGAAACCATCTTTGCAACATGCCATACTTTAAGCCTGTTCACGTTTCCAGGCTCTCCAGATGCCCTGAGCAGGGTGCTAGGCGAGGGCAGAGGCTCTCCGTGGCGTGCGCACACTTGCGCTCACACTCGCCCGCGCTCAGCCAGCCCGAGCTGCGGTGGGCGCGTGTGTGCACGCGGGCCAGGGGGAGGCGGAACCTGCCTTTCCTCGCCCCCTCCTTTCCTCGCTGAGCTCTCTCTGTGTTGGAGAGCTATATATACCGCTCAACACCCTTTCGTGCCCGCACCCTGAAGCTTCCAGGGATAACCGTGGTGCGCTTTCAAGTGAGGCTGAGCAAGTTCTTTCTGACCTTTAACTCTGGGGCTCAGGACCAGGGTCTCCCCGCCCACCTAGCGTCCGCGGCGTCCCCACCCCAAGTACGTCCCTTCCATAGCATTGCTTAACCTCCACTTCCCCCTCCTGATCCCCCTCCCTCCCGCTGGGATTTGGATCCAACCAATGAAGCTCCTCCCTCCTTAGGTTGTTGGAGGACTTGTTTGTACCCATTTCAAGGCTGGAGGTGGAGAAAGGGCGAGATGACAGTGATTGCTGTACGGAGGGGTGGGAGAACAGATAGAGAGGAGAAGGGTTCATCAAGTCTGGACAACAACCATTGAGACTCTTCCCTTCAGAAGTGCTGGTGGGGGTGGGAGGACGGCGGCGAAAGAAATGATTCTTTCTGATAAAAGGGATTTCCACTTACTGAGCGGACTCTCTCAAACTGTTAGGAAGTGGACTTGAGTTTCACTCTGCAGTCAACGCATTCTCAAGCTGTTGCTGTGAAGATACTAAATTCCTTTACTATACCCGCCCCCACCTGGCACACACAGGCCCTCTACCCGCTTTGCTGCTCCATCCTTTTCTGGAGAGGAGGGGAGAGGTGGAGGCAAAACACTACATCTGGTCAAAATCACTCTCACTTCTCGTGATAATAGACACTTTTATTTCATAATAGAGCTGACTGAATTCCAGAGGTCAACTGCTTTCGGGAAGGGGAAAAGATGGCTGAGGAGAGGGAGAGGAGAGATACTAGAAAAAGAAAATCTGTTGTGTATGGAGCGGGGGGAGAGGGGAGCAAGGAAGTGCAGAAATGTGAAGGTGTTAAAATTATACCTCTAACTTTCTTCTTTAAAGTTAACATAAGCCTTTGATTGTTGTTTTCAATAGAATTCTAATTGGATCCAAGTGCACTGCCCCCACCGCAAGCATCATTATGTTAAGCAAGACACGCACAAATTTACCATAAAGGTTTATATCTGATATGGTGGAATGCAAATAAACAGACCGCCCTACTACTACAGTCTTAGAATGGACACCTTAGAGTCCACAATAACTATGAAATTCCCTGAAAATGAATGCAAAATTTTGTATTTATGTAAGTAAGTGCATTTTTGTAGGGGACTGTTCATAACTTTCATCAGATTTTCAAAGGCTATGGACAACTATAGCATGGACTAATGTTTTAATATAAAAGATGATGACACATATAATAGGACACTCAGCCAAACAGGTGAACAAACATTTGTAACTAATGTGTGAAAATTATCTCTGTCCCATTTGATAACCTTTTTTATTACCAGTTTCTTTATGTAGATCTTGAATTTCCTCAAAAGAAATTCTTCAATTTATCAAATGACCAACTAGCTTGGTACACAAAAATTTTGTGGTGAAAGAATGAATAATTTGAAAGGGTTCAACCTGTTCTTTCTCTTAATGATTTCTGGTAAATATTGAACCATTTTTGACTATTTGAAGAGGGTAATGATGTAAATTGCTTCTTTATAAATTCTAGAGGTTTGTGAATGTACATCAGTTGAAAGATTTTGGTTTCAAAAATATAGAAACTGTCAACTTTTTATGTTAATGCATATCTATTCCATATATTCATGATAGGCAAGAAGAATCGATTTGGTGTTCTCCAGTCACACCATTCCTTATTGGTATTAAAACAATGCTTCCACTGAAATTTTACCTTTATGTTGGCATGTTGTCATTGTCTAGTTATAGATTTTTACATTCATTTTAAGACATCTCAAAACTGTGTTAATATGTAGAAATAATAATCTGGGATACCTTAACAGATTCTATTTGAATAAACATTTCATAATATCAGTTGATACTGCTTCCAAAATAAGTAATTATATTTATCATTTAGTTAATGCAGATTTAGTTATTTCAATGTGATTATTTAACAGAGAATAAAATTTGGACAACATTTGTATTCTACCTGAATAATTTCTATACATAGAATGTGAAAAGTCAACTATTATAGTAAATTTTTAAATTATTAATTAAATATTTTAATTGTCCATGATCAAGTTAGACATTGAGGAAAACATATCCATACTTAATACTAGTTCTCTAATATCAGCTTTTGTTTCATTTGAAAATTCAATGTTTTATAATAAGTAGAAAAAAATATATTTTAAGGGCCTGGAATCCAAGTAATAAATTTAATAAATATTTTGTGAGCTCATTTGCAAATGGCTTATAATTAAATTCTGAAATGACTTCTCAGAGTAATTTTAGAATTATTTTATAGCCAATTCCTAAGAGCCATGACTTGTGTGTGTGTGTGTGTGTGTGTGTGTGTGTGTGTGTGTGAATGTCCTATAAATTTGATACAGAGTAATAAGTATTAAAAGGAACATTCTCTTGATTGTATTTGCATTTATGTGTGTGTATTTTCAAAGTTTCTGGAGAAAAATACTATTGAAAACGATAGATTTTTTTAATCAACATCTGATACTAATGATTAGCAAGGTCAATTTATGCATTTCTAATAGTGCCCCCAATTAAACATATTGTTAAATTTGTTGCCAAAGGCCTACTTTATGATAAATACATGTCTTTATTTCTTTTTCTTTTTTTTTTTTAACTTAATTAACAGAAGTTAATTTTCTTGCAGTTCTGGATGCTAGAAGTCCAAGATCAATGTTC